GGCCCCTTTCCTTAAAGAACTTCTGAGTTGTCGCTAAAATCAACTCGTGTTCTCCTGGCTGCCTGGGGTGGGGGTGGAGGGGAGTTACAGCTAAGCGGAGAGCACAAGACTAGCAGTTACTTTGTGTATTCATTTATTTATTTTTGTTTTTTAACTTAAGAATTGAAGAAGTTGTCCCTCCCTAACGCTGCTTGCTTTATAGCAATAAAACAAGGGAAGCAGGGAGTGCGGATGGGGCTTGAGCTCTGTTTTTGGCAGTGCTGGGGTCAAGGGAACCAAGTGGGTTTCCAAGCAGATCTGCAGACTTGGAGAAATGAGTGTGAAGTAGCTCCTGAAAACTGCCCTTGGGAAATGCAATGTGTAAGGTATAGCTTGTATAAAACCTCTTGATTTAGTCCAACATTTGGTCCTTTTATCTCCGTTTGCTCTTCAACTGGCACTAGGTTGTAGGTTGGTTGGGAGGGAAAGGGCTCGGCTCTGATCCGTAAGTCTCATGGCAGCACTTTGGCGATCAATGTCTTTACAACAAAACTTTACTCTGACGGAGCTATTCCCTGCGCTGATGCTAAACCAGCAACACCGTCGCTGCGGGGGGACATCTCCGCCTCGGGTGCCGATCTGGCAGGGTGTTTCCATGTCCAACATGACCCTCCTTGCTACCTGAGCAGTGAAGATGGTAAAGCCCCTAGAAGTAAGGTGTAAGTGAACCATGGGATAGGGCATGTGCAGTATTGACCCTTTTTTTGACATGAGTGATTTGATTTGCACAATGATTGTGTTTTGTTTCTACTTCTAGAGCTCCTTATGTGTTAACTTTTTTTAAAAAAAGCAGATTTTGTTGAAACGGCAAGTAACAAATTACTGGGAAACCTAAAGCTGCAGTCGGTTCTGGACCCTGACCTGGAGGAGCTGCAGAGAAGCAGCCACCTGCTTGGATGGGAGACATTCAAGGACTTCTATAGCTCCAGTGACTATGATGAGTATGTGCCCATGTCGGATGACTTCAAGGAACTTCTTCGCCAGGTAGAAGAAGCTATTCAGAGGGGCAGGGAAGGAGCAGGAATCGCAGACCCCACAGGATCAAACAGTTTTCCCTGGGCCAAGTATCCCAGAAGAAAACGGGAATCTCTGGGCTTGGCGGGAACGTGTTGCAAATGGGGCTGTACAAAAGCTGAAATCAGTGCTATATGCAGGGTATAAAAATCTCTCTGTGCTTATTTTAGATGCATGGAATCAGTGTTAGTGGCAGTGCTAATTGCTGGAGTACTGTATGGAGAAAGAAAACTCTCACTGTACTTTATTTTGTCTGTAAGCACCAGTAAATGCTGCTGATTTTCTTTGGGGAAAAAAAAAAGAAAAAAAAGTAAGTGTTTTATTGCAGTAATTTTTGATCTGTATTTTTTATTAAACCTTTACAATTCCTTTTAATGGTTAGTCTTTAAACTTACAGTAGAACTCTAATGCCATATCTTTGTAACACTTGAAGTTCAGTGTTTGATTAAAGAGTAATTACACTAAATGTTTTAGAATGGTCCGTTCTGTCCTCAGAAGAACAGCCCATGATGTTCCTGTTCTTGGTACAGAGCTATACAAAAAGGGTATTCTGCCTCTTGAAACCTGTGTGAACTCTGATTTGGCTTGTTGATTATTTTGAATACTATTTTTCCATTTCCTTACAATTGCCGAGTTGGTTTATGCTATGCCATTGTTCTAAGGACCTTACTACGATACAATACTTGCAACCTAAATATTTCTTACTACTCACAGATACCCGGAGTGTAAGAGAAATACCATTTAAGGCTATTTCTGATTTATGTGACTTGCCCCTTTTTGCCTTTACTGCATAGATTGGTTGCTGGATAAGCTTTAAAAAACTGTTACCAACTGCAGACATCTTTCCCACGTGTTTCTGTATTGTGCTAAGAATACTTCAGATATCTAAATAGCTAATTGCTACTGTATTTGTAAATTACTATTTAAATCTTTGTAGCTTCTAGGCTTTCTGGCTTCCCTCTGACTGCGCTTCCCAGCCCTAACAAGGTGTTTTTCCAGCTGTGCTGCTGATGGCTTGGATCATGTCTCTTTCCTGTTGGAAACTGGTACCATAACTTTAGTGTTGTAGCACCAACTACAACATATCCATTAAACTGTCCCTAAACAGCAGAACTTGTTTCAGTTGACCAGTGACAAACTTCACAGCTTGAGCTACAACAGCCTCTGCTTGGGGCTGACGATGCTTTGTTCTTCGAATTGCCTTTTGAAAAGTGTTCTTTGACACTTAATGCTTAGTGCTTAATGAGATTGTTACATCCCTCCTTTATCCCAGATGTTAGTATGATTCCAGCACTTAGCATCTGTCTGTCTCTTAGGAGGCCCAGGTTTTATTCAGTAGAGGCTGGGAGAACTGGTTGTTCTCTTCCGGCTTTGAACGGCAGCGCTGAAAAGGGCTTTCTCTTCAGTCTTTGCATTTGAATTCCAGGAATTTTGTAAAAGCAATATTTAGCAAGAAATAAGTTAACTCCCTCCCATCTTTTATTGCAGTGAATGAGATGCCCCCATTCCCTTTTTTTTATTTTAATTTTTATTTTTTGGCTTAGCCTGAGTAGAAAAAGCGGCTGTGAAGTCATAAGGGTGTGTGTAGTTTTTTTGTTTGTTTGTTTTTTACAACTGTTAATTTGAGCTTCTGTAGCCATCTGCTTTCTCAAAGTGTGTTTCCAGCTGCTCCATGACACAAAGCCTTGGTTTTGGAGGCCAGGAGTCTAAGTCGGTGCTGTGCTGTTTGTTGCTGTTTTTCTTGTTTGTTCTTTTAGTTTGTTTGAGTTCTTGTTTTGCTTTAGCAGTTCAGGCCCCTTTACTAGAGATTAGACTAAATGCTACAAGGAACCTCTAAGAAAATATATTGGAGTAAGGCAGGGAAATGCTCATTACAGCCTGTAGCTTTGCTCATCTCACAAGAGAACTTCCAGCTAAACTTTTAGGAGGTGATAGTGTGGGGAGCGGAGCGCGTGCTGGGAGCGCTGTGTGTTCAGCTCCCTCGCTCCGCTGCCTCCGGGCGGGTTTCCCTCCTCCTCCTCGTGCTGAGCCGCAGCTCCAGGCTGCAGGCCTGAACCATGAGGTGAAAACCAACAGCTTAACTTTCTAAGTTAGTTGTAACCTACCAGTAAGGCTATGAATGGTGTCTGGAGGACACCAGCGTTCAAGAGGGTCTGCTTCACACTGAGACAAAATTGTAACGAGAAGCCTCCGTGTTTATCTGACACACAAGTTGAGGTAGGTCAGTGTGTGTGACCTGGAGGAAGGGAGAAATTTGCTGGTTTGTGTGGTTCCTTCATAGCCCTACTCTAAAGGCTTTGGTGGGGCAGCCATGGCACATACCAGATACAATCTCTATTTTACAGCCATCGCAAATACCAAATAAAAAGATAATATCTCTCTTTTACAGCATGAGATATTTGACTCTTCACTAGAGTATCCAGAGACGTATGGGGGTTTGTTTTGTTTTTGTTTTTTCTCCCTAAAGGCAAACAGGGTGGACAACTACTTGTCATTCACTTGCAACCAGTCTGGCCCCGGGGCCGGAAGTGGGCAGTTGCTCACTGTGGCACTTAATGTCCAAATGTGCCTTTTTGGTAAAATGGGAAACAAGTCTATCCTGTAAAAGGAGATGCTAACTGAGCAGTGTTTTAGGAAGGCAGCGCTGCAGAATTAGGGCTGTGAAACCCTCATGCTAAAACAGTTGTTGCAGCAGAGTTTGCTTTGAGTTGTTGCTGCATTATCAGTTCTTACAAACCAGAAAATAACACTCCATCCTCACTCCTGAACCCACAATAATGAGGGGGGAAAAAAAAGTGAAAAGCAAATAAAAACCTGTCCCCTTCCCCTGCTGGGAGGGAGGAGGTGCTGCTGGCACTGAAGTGCCGGAGCGGGTCGGAGGGCAGTGCTGGAGCCCCGGGCAGAAACGTTCCCTGTGTGTTACAACCTGCGCTTGGAAATAAGCGCTTGTTGTGCTATAAAACTGTCTCTGTCACATTTCAAGGTTTCAATCCTTGCCAAAAGAGCTTTAGCGATAAAAAAACACAGCAATTAGAAAGCGACAAATGAGGCAACAGGTAGCAGTTTAGAAGAACATCTGAGAAACTGAAGGTAAATGAGTATCTCTTTTCTCACGGAATGGATGGACTATGGGGAAGATGCTCACACAGAAAGAGTGAGTAGGAATAAAAGTAGGGGCAGGAAATATTAACAGCAAGAAGAGACGGCAGCATCAGAAAGTGTTTGTAGGAGGGGAGGAAGCAGGGCAAGCCTGGAGAGCCCGCACTGGCACTTTATGAACTATGTATTCCAACCTCCAGTTTCCTATGGAAAAATAACAAGCCTAGAACCCAAGGCCCACCTCAGCCTGAAATCTTCCATTTCTTTCTTACTCTTGATTATCTGTCTATGCATATCTATCTACCTGTTTTCTTACTATTGGCTTACAGTCTACGATCCGTTTAAAGAGGTTTTACATTAATTCCAATTTTTCAATAAGATGGATGCACTGAGGAGCTCCAGGAGGAGGTGGCCCCACAAGCACCATGACTGTTTCACCGGGGATAATCCACAGCAGTCCGTGTGGCAGCCCGTCCTGCTCCGAGCCCCACGGTGCCTCCTAAAAGCCCTCAGGGCTCCTCCTGTAAGGAGGCAGCAGCAGAGGACAGGCAGGCTGTCACATTCGTTTTGGCTGTTGTGAGGGAAACTGATTTATTTTACATTAAATGAGGGAAAATTCAGTCTCCAGCTCCTGTCTTGCATTCAGAATTAAAGTGACGTGACAAATGTTTCTTCCAGCATTTGTGCTGGTGTTTCTGGAGCAGGTGTTAACAGAACTTGGACTGCAGAGAGCTATGGATTTCAGGAATATTTGCCAGACCTTTCCCCTCAGACTCAGTCTGCAATGGGATTCAAACTTGCACAGTCCTTAATGGCAAAACACTTCAAACCTTTGGAAAGAAATTTCTCCCATGAAGATGAATTTCTTCATTTTTTTAGTTTTTCCATGAAAACATCCTTCTAAAATCAGAGTATCATTGACTAAAAGAAGTGTGGAGGGTGAGGGGGGCTTCGGGTCTTCATGCTAGATCCTCATATGTTGAAGGATGAAACTGACTTAAAAGACCCGAGTGTTTTCCAGGGCGCTTAGAGACCTCCCTCGACGTGGCAGCAAGACCCATGAGGGCCGTTTGGCGAGCGCCACGGCTCCCGTGGTGAAGCTGCTCCACGTGGACCAGACATCCGCGCTCAGCGGGGACAAGAGCACTTCTGAGGAGGACCCCTTCTAGCCTGGCCCTGCCCACGTGTTTTGTGAAGCTGCAGAGACAACCAGTGCCTGAGCACTAACCAGTGACGTGGTTAGTGCTCAGGCAGCCGCAGCGCAGGCAGCACCCGCATTTAATGGGTGCCCTTCTCAGCTGGAAGTTACAGCAATTTTCCTTGAATTGCTGTGTACGTGAGCTATGTACTCGATTATATTTAATTGGCTGATTTATTAATATTTCATTTACTCATGAAGTGCTAAAAAGACACTGTGAAGCTTGTTGCACTTTGCAGAGACTGAAATGAGTTGTCTAGTAAAATGGTAGACTTTTAAGATTATAACGGAAATGCAGAATCACTAATAGATATTAAGCTTGTAGGACCCTCTCTTTTAAAATAAAATAGGAAGCATAGAGGCTAATATTAAGAAGTTTTATCACCACAGTTAGTTACACTAGCTCAAGACTCAAGGCTGGCTTGAAATTTTAAGTCTTCCTTTCTGTCCTTCATTTGGCTTGAGCAGAATATCTCTGAGGACTATAGCACATCTCTTCCTTCTGTTCAACCACACAATTTCAAGATCAAAAACACAGACAAAAGCAGGTAAAGATAATAGTAGAACTAAAGACGTGTTTCGGATAGATTCAGAAGTTTTGCTTAGGTGGCCAAGGGAAGATGCTTAAAGGAGTGTCAGTGTTCTCTATTTCAGTCTATTTTAAAAAATTTTATTTTAATGCATGAGGTCCCATAGTGGTTCCCTTTATTTTTCTCTTTTTTGAGCATGTATTTAGTATTGATCAAAATAAAGGATTATTGACTCAGCTGAGGGGCATTCTTCCATGAACAACTTAGCTGTTACATCCATGCTCCAGGACACGAGCTGGGATCGTTACTTTTCCCAACAA